TGAATTCAGTATCTAAAGGCTAAACTGCCAGTTTCCAATATAAAAAAGAAAGCAGTGTCCAAGTCATTTATTAGCTTCCAAAAAGATCCCTTAATGACACGCATTGAAGATCTTTATTTGTTTAACAACTTCTCGTATTCTGAATGAGCATGTCAATTTTATGCTAATCCCTCAAAGACTACCACTTACACAGCTTGCGTGTCATAATCAGCTAAGAAAGCATTTTGTCTTCTAGTCAGGCCTTACTAAAGGCTTGTGTATGTAACATTATCTTCTTATAGGCATTACGCATTTCAGGAAATAGTTTCAGTTGAGCACGTACTCGACCCTCAGAAAGGCGATCGCTTCCTTCTAGAATTACGCTTAACTGATAGACAAAATCGGGGGAGCGTGCTGTTCTCCGAATACGTGTACAAGCCCCTTGAAGGAGACAGTTTGTGTTATCCTGCAGGATTCCGCTGGAAGAAAAATGCTATTGTGAATGTTATAGTTCCTGTGAGAAAATCTGGTCGCTGGGCACTTTATTTTATAAAGAACATTGCAGGTATTTTTAGACTGAGGCTATATCGGCATACCTTTATAAACATCCGGCGTAGGATGTCGGGTAATGAGGGAGGCAGTGTTCCTGAAAGGCTAGGAACTATGGTCTACTTTATGCGATCTGTTGCTGTATAGAGGTGCTGAAAAAGTTGAACTTATCTAACACGTTATTGAGTGAAATTATTGAAAAGAGTGCAGATCAAAATGAGCGTACTGCGCCGCGCACTGGATCTTTCGCTTCCTTTTGGCCTGAGCCCGTGTACTTTTTTAAAATTGAATTTACTTAAATTTCATCATCATAGTCATGGAGCTTGTAGGTAATTCTCTCTTGTTTTAACTCATTCAGTCCCAGCACATGTAATGGTTAAGAGTTACAAAAATGTTTTAGTAAATTTAGTCAGCCCCAGCCAATCAATGTCAATCGCGTTTTTCGGTAAAATGTGAGTCTCTTGTTCTGACTCTAAAAAAAAGACGGGAAAAGTTTTTATTGTAGAATCTTTTTTGTGATTTTCTCTTGCGCGCTAGTATATTGCATTTCAGGCTATTTAAGTTAAGACAAGGTTTTCGCATTTTTCAAAACTTAGCCAGTGGTCATGTGGTACAATACTTATTTACTGCAAGAGTGGGAGGACGGAACGGAAAAAATAAACAATACAATACAATACTTTATTGAAAACTTCCCATGGAGGTTTTTCAGTGACAAAGTTTTGGCTCTCTCTCTCTCTCTCTCTCTCTCTCTCTCTCTCTCTCTCTCTCTCATATTTTCTCGTGCGGCCTCCCCCCCCCTCCCACTCAGTCAGTAGGTACATATTCTTCCCTTATTACTGTTTACAGAAGTAGTTCGTCAAACTCAGGACTTCAACATACACGTCATCATCGTTGACTATGAGAGCAAGGACATCGACATAGAAGCCGTGCTAAAAAGGAGTTCTATTCAGTGGTACTCGCTGGTGAAGATATCTGGGGACCAGGACTTCCAGAGAGCCTTGGCCCTTCAGCGTGGAGCTGAGGCTGTAAAGGATCCTCATAGCATACTCTTCATGTGCGACCTTCACTTAAAGATCCCTTCACATCTGATTACCACCATCCGCAAGGTACATTGGTTTTAGAGAGTTGCCTAATGGGAATCAGTGAGATTTTACAACTTAACTTCGATTGCTCGTAGTCAAACACTTAACATCAGTATTACTTAATTTTTTAGCACTGCGTAGAAGGGAAAATGGCTTTCGCACCAGTAGTGAAAAGACTTCGTTGTGGTTACTATCCTGAGCTTCCATTTGGTTACTGGGAAACACTTGGATTTGGTCTACTTGCAATTTATAAGTCTGACTTTGATCACGTGGGAGGAATGAACGTACAGGAGTTTACTGGATGGGGAGGAGAGGACTGGGAACTACTGGACAGGATCCTTATGTCCGGGATAGAGGTGGAGCGACTCAAAATCCCGCATTTCTATCATTTTTACCATCCATCTGTTGGTGGCAATCAAAGGGCAGGAGCGTGAAAAGTCTTCTAAGAAAGGTCACTCGCTTAGGTGCTTGCTGAGCGACAAATACTCAGATTTCTCCATTTTGCGCTTAAGCTGAGGAGTATGTTCTTTAAAGACTGTCACAATACCGCTGCAGCCGAGCGGAGGAAAACTTAAATTGACTGAGTGCTGTAAAATTGATATAGGAGGTTACTCTTATGAAAGATGCACTTGCGAAATGCAAGAAAAGTAGAGGCATTTTCTTTTGAATCGCTGTGCAATGTATGTCAGTGTACTTACTTAAGTTTCTCGGATTCGCTAAAAGCTTTTCGAAAAGAGAAAAAAGAAAAAGAAATATCATGATTGCGTTAAGCTGTTTTTTCTGGAATCAATCTTTTACTTCTTTCAACAATACACGTCACCTCAATTTCTTATCTTTGGGTGGTTTGAACATTCTCTCGGTAAAATGGACTTTGTTTAAAAAATCAACTTGGTCGTATTTCTAAGACACATTCTGGAAATTTAGTCTTCTAAAAAATATATGTTGTGGTGTCCTTGGCAATGAAGCGGTCAAGGCGATCTGCTGGCTGACCTTTATGACTCACTTCACTAAGGGTTTTGAGTTACCGAAGAATATTTCATTGCTGCGGCGCCGATCAAAACTCGTGAATTAAAGTACAGGGCGGGGTATAAATTTCAAACTATCTGTTCCAAACGAATCAATTTTTATGGTTAAATTATCCAAAGGCGAGATAACACTACGGAAAAAGTAAATCGGATGGTGTGGTAAATTATCTTTTTGAGTTTCCTTATTCGCCGGTTATGTTTTTACAAATCTACAAATTTTGTAGGTTATCGTTCGCAAGCAGTGTTTTTTCGAAAGTCGATAGTTGGTGCACTCTGTTCTATTTTGACGAGACAGGATATGCTGAACTTCTCTGCAATATATTGATCATAAACACATTTAAAGATTTTCTGGGCAATTCTTATCCTATTGACAAAAGACTTCTGTCTGTTGTTCCTCAAACAGTTTAAGTTTTAATCCTCGACTTTGTGAGTAAACTGTTGCAGTCCCTCAGGTTCATCTTTCCTCAATCTTTATATAATCATTGTTTTGTTGGTCTGGTCTGTAATATATGCTTGTTGCTATATGCAGATGTGATTTGTCACTTCAATGTTAACTCTTCGATGTGAATGATAAAGGCAACTCGTCACTTTTATGTTCACATTTAAATACACAATTTTAATAACTGTAACCGAGTTTTACACGGAAACTAGTGTGGACCTTTGTGGATTAACAATTAAATTTGCCTCGGCCACGTGCTCTCGATTTTACCAAATTAAACAAGACAAAAATGGGATAAATGTAAACAAAAAAACCGACAATTGGTCAGCCATAACTGCGAACGAATTGGTCGATAAACCAGTGGCGCCAAAATGCTGCTTACCTTTTCGCACAAACGGAAAATGCGTTTTCTTGCGGGCTCAATCGTTAAACAGAGTTAGAGATTACGGCAAATCCCCCTCGATTTCAAATATTCACTAAAGGTTAGAATTATGTACTTTGTACGAAGTAGCCGAACACTGTTCGCTCTTAGGTGAATGTAAAAAATGATTAGAAATCATCCCACCTGCTTCTTCTGAAGCAATACTCCTGGGACGATGTCTCTTGTCTTCTATATTTATATTTGCACTCTCTTCACTCGCGTAGAACGTCAACGGGTTGAAATTTGAGTACGACAAGGACAGAAGTACAACAATAACACACGCTTTCCGTCTGGCCCGAAGAAGAATAAGCATCACAGAAATAAAGCAATCTGATTGGCTGACTCGCTAATTGTCCTCGCACCTGCTGACAACTAGCATAAATTATGCATTTAAGTCCTAGGACCTAATAACAGTAAAACGACTCCTGTTGTGTCAAAACCTCTAATTTCGGCGCGTTCAACGTCTGCTAATCAGCAGATTGCCTTCCTCATCAAATCGTAGTTTGTACTCATCACCAAAGCAACATTTTTAGAAAAAGTTACTTCATTAGATTAGTGACGATTCAATTTGTATTGCTAATTAATCCTATTATCCGCGGCTTAAATCCTCTTCACTTCATTGACTTTCCTCGCAGATATCCATGTCTAAAGCTCCTGGACTGACGGGGTTGCAAAGAAAGGGCAACATCTTCAAAAGATGCTTATGATAAAATTTGATCAAAATCAGTTCTCACGCAAACTCGGATATTTTTGCTGAAACACAGACCGAATACTGTAAATTCAGCGAAGACCTGTTTATTCGAACCTTACGCGAGTCATTATTCAATACAGTTACACCACGATTGGTATGTAAATTTTTATGTAATTATTAAACGTTTCTACGTGTAAGCGTCTCCATGTTTACAATGCAGCAAGGGATTCTGGGAATCACTAAACAATGGGGCTCTCTGAGATACCTATCTTGTGGGACATGAAACCCAACAGGGTCGCTTGTAAGGCATGTCTACCTCGTCTATCCTACATAGTTTCGTCTTTCTTCTCTGAGTTTTCACCTCGCTTAAGTCGTAGTACTCCACTTACCAACCACACAACTGCTATAGGTAATCTAATCAAAGGAAGCCAATAGAACCTCCATGTTGTTTACATAAAAGTTTTTCTCGGGTCTGTTGGCCTTCAGTTGCTGTTGTTTTGAACAGTGGGAACTCTCCTCAGTAGGCAAAGTTGAATTTAATTCTCATGTTTCTTTACTAAGTTTCTCCTTTGCAAACTAATGAGGAGTTTATTTTTTAAAAAAAGAAAAACTGAATACTGATTTATTCTATAGTTTAGAAGCATTATAGCACAACGCTGCTTTAGTTGCTAAGAGAGAACCTTTCTCTGAGAAGAATGTATGGACGGTATTTAAATGAGATTTTCCGCTGTTGAGGTCGTCATTAAAAAAAACCTAACTCGTTGGAAGCTAATAAACCAAAACACTAGTCGACAATTCGGATTTTGGAGAAACGATGAGCGTCAAAATTCTGCGTTTGTGCTACAATAACATCAAAAGGAAAAGAAAGCAAGTTCTGTCGACTTTATTCTTCTTTCTGTCATTTACAGTTTGTTTTTACATTGCTTTTCAACAGCCGAGGAAGTCCTTCATTTTTATTGATGATATCAATCGCTCTTCGGAAGAGTTGATGACAACATCATTTTTTGAACCGAAGCAAGGAAAGAGTTTGCTCAGCGCTCAAAACTACCAGCAAGAAACCTTTACTAAGGAAAAGGATATTTTTATTGATGATATAAAGAGCGTTAAAAATTTAACTGGTTTGCTATCACACGGAGACAGTGATTTCGTAGCCAATAATATTAACTATCCTTCAGGTGAACCTCCTCCATTCCGCGCAGAAAACCAACCGGGCCAAGATGGAAACAAAACGTTCTTATTACGAGGACATTTAAATCTCCATATTTGGGATGATGTCTGTCACTTCCAAGTGGAAAGTTTGCGTGAATTTATCCTATTCCCACATGCTCCATCGAAACGAAGGTTGTTGACTTCCTCTTCTTCGTACGGTGAAAACTTAAAAAACTTTGGGGAACGAATGTTTGGCTTTATTTCACCATCTATTAGCGGTAAGTATTACTTCGCCATTTCTTCGAGTGGAAATTCGGAACTGTGGTTGAGCTCCGATGATTCTTCGGCAAATCTTCGGAAAATTGCTTTTCTCGGTTCTCGTGAAAATCCTGGTCAAGGACAACCTGGAAATTATTCCCAAAACGCGACACAAGTTTCTACAGCTTTCTACTTGACAAAAAATAGGAAATATCTTATCAACGTACTTCACAAACATCATTCTGGCAGAGTTCATCTGTTGGTGACTTGGAGATTAGAGGGTGACACGGTATTCGGTATTGTGACCAGTGAATATCTGTGGGCTGCTATGAATGACAGTCACGTGCCTGATAACGCTGTTGGATTGTCTGATTACCAAGAAGGGTCACAACAATCACGTGACTTCATTCTACCTTTTGTTATTTGGGAAGATATGAAGGCTGTGTTGCCTGAGTGTTTGTATGAACCAAGTTATTTGGTCAAACATAAACTGATTCGATTCCAGGTGAGTTATAAACAACAAATGGCCTACAAAATAGTGAAGCCTTGACACAATCACAATTTCCTGAAAATATGTCCTTGGCAACTTATCTAGACCAGCAAACGTTGTTCTTACTTGTTCAAGTGGCCGACAACAATGTTAGGTTTTGCAAAAAGCTCCACTGCTGAGGAAAAAATCGAGAGAAACCTTTTCTCGAAAGAGCATACATAGAACCAGCTTAAAAAGTTCAAGTCAGATTTTAAAAATATAAGGTACGATGTGTTTTTGTTTTTTTTCCTTACAGGGTGCTCGAAATAAAAGTAACACACATTTTGCTTCAGTTTATCCTCCGGATACCACTAATAACTCTCTCGCATTAATGGAAAATGAAGATATCTGGTGGCAGGAAAATGCAGCTGGCAATCTTCTAACAAATCCGAACAAGGCTCAGGGTGTGGCCCATATGTTCATGGATGCTTTAGAAGGAAAATATCCTCAGTAAGTCAAAGTTGCAGTATATGGGCCCAAGCTCATAAGCTTTAAATGCTGAGTACCTCTAAGGGTTTGCGATGATAAAATATGTTCTTATAGTAGCTATGTCATTATAGCAAGCTTAAAGAAAAGTTTTCTGTTGTTAAATATTTGCTTAACTTTCCTGCGCCGCTTTTCAGTTTAATGCATTGAATAGTAAGGTTATTGGCTAATATTGTTATTGTTGAGTGAATTCAGTATCTAAAGGCTAAACTGCCAGTTTCCAATATAAAAAAGAAAGCAGTGTCCAAGTCATTTATTAGCTTCCAAAAAGATCCCTTAATGACACGCATTGAAGATCTTTATTTGTTTAACAACTTCTCGTATTCTGAATGAGCATGTCAATTTTATGCTAATCCCTCAAAGACTACCACTTACACAGCTTGCGTGTCATAATCAGCTAAGAAAGCATTTTGTCTTCTAGTCAGGCCTTACTAAAGGCTTGTGTATGTAACATTATCTTCTTATAGGCATTACGCATTTCAGGAAATAGTTTCAGTTGAGCACGTACTCGACCCTCAGAAAGGCGATCGCTTCCTTCTAGAATTACGCTTAACTGATAGACAAAATCGGGGGAGCGTGCTGTTCTCCGAATACGTGTACAAGCCCCTTGAAGGAGACAGTTTGTGTTATCCTGCAGGATTCCGCTGGAAGAAAAATGCTATTGTGAATGTTATAGTTCCTGTGAGAAAATCTGGTCGCTGGGCACTTTATTTTATAAAGAACATTGCAGGTATTTTTAGACTGAGGCTATATCGGCATACCTTTATAAACATCCGGCGTAGGATTTCGGGTAATGAGGGAGGCAGTGTTCCTGAAAGGCTAGGAACTATGGTCTACTTTATGCGATCTGTTGCTGTATAGAGGTGCTGAAAAAGTTGAACTTATCTAACACGTTATTGAGTGAAATTATTGAAAAGAGTGCAGATCAAAATGAGCGTACTGCGCCGCGCACTGGATCTTTCGCTTCCTTTTGGCCTGAGCCCGTGTACTTTTTTAAAATTGAATTTACTTAAATTTCATCATCATAGTCATGGAGCTTGTAGGTAATTCTCTCTTGTTTTAACTCATTCAGTCCCAGCACATGTAATGGTTAAGAGTTACAAAAATGTTTTAGTAAATTTAGTCAGCCCCAGCCAATCAATGTCAATCGCGTTTTTCGGTAAAATGTGAGTCTCTTGTTCTGACTCTAAAAAAAAGACGGGAAAAGTTTTTATTGTAGAATATTTTTTGTGATTTTCTCTTGCGCGCTAGTATATTGCATTTCAGGCTATTTAAGTTAAGACAAGGTTTTCGCATTTTTCAAAACTTAGCCAGTGGTCATGTGGTACAATACTTATTTACTGCAGGAGTGGGAGGACGGAACGGAAAAAATAAACAATACAATACAATACTTTATTGAAAACTTCCCATGGAGGTTTTTCAGTGACAAAGTTTTGGCTCTCTCTCTCTCTCTCTCTCTCTCTCTCTCTCATATTTTCTCGTGCGGCCTCCCCCCCCCCCTCCCACTCAGTCAGTAGGTACATATTCTTCCCTTATTACTGTTTACAGAAGTAGTTCGTCAAACTCAGGACTTCAACATACACGTCATCATCGTTGACTATGAGAGCAAGGACATCGACATAGAAGCCGTGCTAAAAAGGAGTTCTATTCAGTGGTACTCGCTGGTGAAGATATCTGGGGACCAGGACTTCCAGAGAGCCTTGGCCCTTCAGCGTGGAGCTGAGGCTGTAAAGGATCCTCATAGCATACTCTTCATGTGCGACCTTCACTTAAAGATCCCTTCACATCTGATTACCACCATCCGCAAGGTACATTGGTTTTAGAGAGTTGCCTAATGGGAATCAGTGAGATTTTACAACTTAACTTCGATTGCTCGTAGTCAAACACTTAACATCAGTATTACTTAATTTTTTAGCATTGCGTAGAAGGGAAAATGGCTTTCGCACCAGTAGTGAAAAGACTTCGTTGTGGTTACTATCCTGAGCTTCCATTTGGTTACTGGGAAACACTTGGATTTGGTCTACTTGCAATTTATAAGTCTGACTTTGATCACGTGGGAGGAATGAACGTACAGGAGTTTACTGGATGGGGAGGAGAGGACTGGGAACTACTGGACAGGATCCTTATGTCCGGGATAGAGGTGGAGCGACTCAAAATCCCGCATTTCTATCATTTTTACCATCCATCTGTTGGTGGCAATCAAAGGGTAGGAGCGTGAAAAGTCTTCTAAGAAAGGTCACTCGCTTAGGTGCTTGCTGAGCGACAAATACTCAGATTTCTCCATTTTGCGCTTAAGCTGAGGAGTATGTTCTTTAAAGACTGTCACAATACCGCTGCAGCCGAGCGGAGGAAAACTTAAATTGACTGAGTGCTGTAAAATTGATATAGGAGGTTACTCTTATGAAAGATGCACTTGCGAAATGCAAGAAAAGTAGAGGCATTTTCTTTTGAATCGCTGTGCAATGTATGTCAGTGTACTTACTTAAGTTTCTCGGATTCGCTAAAAGCTTTTCGAAAAGAGAAAAAAGAAAAAGAAATATCATGATTGCGTTAAGCTGTTTTTTCTAGAATCAATCTTTTACTTCTTTCAACAATACACGTCACCTCAATTTCTTATCTTTGGGTGGTTTGAACATTCTCTCGGTAAAATGGACTTTGTTTAAAAAAAATCAACTTGGTCGTATTTCTAAGACACATTCTGGAAATTTAGTCTTCTAAAAAATATAATAATTTAAACGAAAAGTTAATCAAAAAGATAAAAAGGAGCGAAGTTCTTCTCCAGTATAAAGGAACTTTAAGCATCCTGGACACATCATTAGATGTGGATATTCTTTTATGTGGTCCATCTTTGCTGTCGTCTGGACCGCTGTTTAAACACTGACGGACACTGCAACAGGATGGATCCTACGGTGTGCCATATTTGGAAGGATTTCCCAGGTATGCGTCATCAGATCAAACGAGTCAAGCCGGTTTGAATACGCCTTCATTCTCAACTTCTCGTTGCCACCACAGAGAAACATTTGTGAATTTATTACGCACGCACCACAGCCGAATCGCGTGCAAGGCATGTTGGGAAGATCAAACCATTTCCGGTTGCGCAGATCAAACATTTCTATGGTATCTAGCGAATAGTCACCAAGCGTCAGACCTCCCGCCACAAAAAGCTTCTCACCCACGGCTACGACTGCGCACCGTCGACGTTTCGTGCTCATGGCGGGAAACGTTTCCCACTTCTCCGTTTTCAAGTTGAAACATTGGATTGTATCGGTTGGACGACCAAATTCGTCCCCACCCACCTGAAAATACAGTGATTGACACATTATTAGGTAATAAGATAACATGACCACTAATTCTATTGTTTTGACGATACAGAAGGGGCATCAGTCTGAGTTTAAGCGATGAAGTGTTATTATTTGTGAGGAGTCAATGCTAAGTTATCACTTCTTCCTATCCTGACCCTCCAGCCATTTGTTCAATTTCTTCCCGGGCTGATTTTTGACTAGGTCGTCGGGGCTTGCTCATTCCCATTTAATTTATTCCATTTTTACTGCGATTACATCGTCACATGATAAAATGATAATAACAATAATGATAATATTAATAAAAATAGTATTAATAGTTACTGTATCAATTAATAAAACTGTAAGTCCATAACAAAGAAGTGGGGTAGACTAGAACGGAACTGACGAACCATACGTGTTAGTCAACCCATTTGTATCCCTTGCTGATATGAGATAATGTGAGAAGATGTAAACAACTAGACAACACAACAAACTAATCAAAGACCCAATAGATCGAACACATGGACATCATAAATGTTTGAGATACTCTTGTTAAATACAGTAAATGGTTTGAACCCGGGAGTAAACATGTAATAATGTAGTTTGATCGTCTAGGTGAGTGTAGTCCTAAGAAGGACTGTGGTCGGTAGAAGTGACTCACATTTCGATAACCTGAGCAGATGATTTCCTGATGATGACTTCCGCTCAGGTTGTCGAAACGTCAGTCACCACTACCGACAACAGTCTTTCTCAGGAATATACTCACCCGGAAGATCAAACTACACCGTTACACCCTTGTTAAAGCAATTAAAGGTAGTGGACGTAACTCAATCATTAAAGGAATGTTGGCGGATGAGTTCCAATCGCTTGTTATAGACACAATAAATATCGTGAAGAGTTCTCTTTAGAGGAAAAAAGATATTCAACAGACCACAGCGAAGTAATCTCCCACGATAGCTCCCCCAGATTTTGTACGAGCTGTTGGCATAGCAGGAGCTTTCAGCCATCTTTCAGTCTTCACATCAAAAATTTCCATGGAGTCCAGCTCTCTGTTATTAAATCCCCCTGCCACTAGCAGACAAGCCCGCGATTTATCCATGGTTCCACAGGAGTATGAGCGAGCTGTGACCATCGGGGCCAGTTTCCTCCAAGCTCGTTCTTGCCAGTCAAACATTGACACATTATCAAGAGGCTTTTTCCTGTAATAGAGAAACGAAAACGTTTCTCAAAAAAACTTAGTTATAGCGTTTGTTCCAAAATGTTTATAATGTAAACATAGCAAGGATCCTAGTTTAGTTTCGATCACTGTGAACTTTTTTCTTGGTTTTACAGCTTATGGCCAGCCCGGAAAACTCGTTATATTCAATTTATTGTGACGATGTAAATGGCCTCTGTTACATCAGGAGGCCTAAAAAATCTGATTGTGTACCACGCTATAATTTCATTGTAAATTTATGTTTCACTGTAAAGCGCCTTATCGCCAAATACAGACATGGATCAATGCCTAATCAGCCTCGAATATCTTTACCTTTTGTGTGTTGCTGTTCTGTTGGCTCATAAGTGCTATTTGGGTCAATTCAATCCAAGAGAATCGCAGGAAGTAAATCAAAGGTTACCCAAGTCGATTGTGGGGGGCTTTACATGTGCACACAAGGACTATTTTGTTCTCTATAAAGAGTCTCTGGACGAAAGACAAAAAGGTTTACCGAGCCTCTTGGCTTACCTAACCCACGAAGCAAATCTCAGAATAAAAAACAACAGTGCAGTGACGTCACCTGTCAGATCCTCCGGCCACGAACACAGCACTCCCATAAGCCCCTGCAGTTAAACTGTCGCATTCGACTGGCATTGGAGGTAGATCAGCCCAGGTGTTTGTGTTCACACAGAATGCCTCTACTGTATCCAGCTCGAATCTCCCTTCGTATCCTCCACAGCATACTATGATGTCCCCTCTGAAGGTACTAAAGTCCGCTTTCTCAATCCCGTTAGCAATACCGTTGGATTTATCAGAATTCTTGATGATATGGAACTTAATCTCCTCAATCTCGTCAGCCATAGTCAGAAGAATTTTTATTTCCTGAAGGATGGAAGATTTATGTTACATCATGTACTCCCGTGTTAACCATATTTTAGAAAAAAAATCCACAACAAGGACAACACAAAAAGTCAAAAAAGAAAGAAAATAGGCAAACAAAACGCAAGGAAGACCGGTACAGCCTGGGTCAAAATACACAAAAACCTACCTACAGTTTAAAAACTTATTAAAGCGCAAAAGAAATTGAATCCAGGTTGCAGCGTTCGATCGGGTGCAGTATAATTATTTCTTCTTTGAAGGCATCAATTGTGCTGTAAGCAAATCTGCAAATCTGATTGGTTCATGTGTCATGGACCAATCGCTGATATACTTAGCGATCTCTTTGCAAGTTCTGTACCCTTATGGTATTCCACGTTTAGGCTCATTCTTTTGTTTATATTCGCCTTCAGGCTAAATGTATCGAGCATTCGGGAAACTCAAACTTAAAAGTTTGTTTTTATCATTGCTCCAGCAGCAACTTTCTATGAAATTTCAAAATTAGTCCGTATATTTCACTGTAGCACAGCGGTCATAAATTGACTGCGGGGGTCAAGAGTAATCTTCACTACTTTGTTTAGGCAAAAAAAACCACTTTTAGCGACCCAATATCAGTGAAATATAAGAGCTTGTATTCATTTTATGCAAATTTATCTCTACAGAATTTTAGACTCGAACTTTTCATGTTCTTCATGTAGAAGTCGTTCTTGTGAGTTGAGTGTTGAATAACTTCTGCATTTTCGCTTTCTGTACTATTTCTGTGCTTGTTCCCCTTGTACTCTTGCCTCTGAGAGACCTGAATTTTTTTTAATCTTGAACACAACGCTGAAGCCCTAAAAAAATGAGTAATTTGCAATTGGCGATGTTTTCCATGTGTTAATACATTAATCAGGAACTGAACCCTGACCGCCTCATTTCAGAAAAAGTTGGAAGTTTGTCTAAATTGTTCACGATAATACGAACAAACCTATTCAGTCTGCAATTTACATGATTACCAAATATAACAGACGTACGGTACATGAGTAGTGTAAGTACACATTACCCTGAAAAAGAAAGACTGGCATTCGAATATAACAAACCACTCAGACAAACAATACTTCTCTTGACCTCAATACAAGAAGTTTCCATGCATTACAATACGGCCAAGAAATTCCTTATTCTTCTTTTCAACTGCGGTAGAGGAACTAATGATCTCCCTACAGTTATGGATGCCTGTATGTTGTTATAATGTACATGGGGAATGTTTGCAGAAGGCTGAACTCAAGGGAGGGTTGATCCAAAGCGATTAAATATCCACGAGGCCATAGATTGTTTAATATCAACAGAACACAATGACTTGAATTAACTTTGCGTGTCAGTGAACAGAATAACGAAATGTATATAAACCTTACATCGTTAACAGTAGCACACTGAAACTTCAGGCCGCAGAGGAAACGCAAGTGTCGCCCTATTTCAGTTATTTCTTCTATTATGGTTTATGCTAATCCAGAGGATGTCGTCTCAAATTAGAATTTCCTTTTAAAACAGCCCCTTTACCCTTGACCACCCAAGCCTGTTTAAAAAGCCACTACTGGGTATCAAAACGAGAAATTAAGCGGAAAACACCGGAATTTTTCAATAAAAGATTGTTTCTTGCAAATTAATCCTCCGAACGAAACGGTAATAGAAAAAAAGTAATGATGGTTTTCTGTGTTTAATAAAGAAGAATATAAACCAAAGAAAAAAAGGTCAGCAGGTCAGCTTTTTTACGGTACATTTGCCAAAGAAACAAAATTTAAGCACCATAATTTTCTAAATCGACGAACGACTGCACGTTTCATCGAGAATGCAAGTTCGCGCGTCCACGATCACTTGGTGAGAAGAATCGAGGAGTGGAGCACCACACAAAGAATTTAATTTAAGCTTTTCCTGACAATTCAAGGACGCCTGAATGTATAGCGAACAAGATATTTCAACTTGGACCGAATGTAACTTCATGTACTCGATTAGTGTCCGAGGCAAGCGATAAGATAATTGTGGAGTCAAGTAACAGCAAGATTTCTAAGTACCTACCTCGGTTTCGTCGACCAAGCGGCTTCAACGACAGGATTTAATTTATTCTTGACGCTGTGTCTCTGGGCCAAAATAAATTTCCTAGAACCTGTCGATAGGTCGCAAAATTTCAAGGTATAAACAATATCACCTTTCTTTTACTTGCGGGATGGCCTTGAAATTGAACCAAATCGATCAAGTTAACGCGGATGTTATCGTACCATCTTTTAAGCCAGTACACTCATATCATTACCTTATGCTCAAAGCTTCGCTAGTAGACAAACTCGAAATTCGACTTCCACTTTTCGATGATTTGCATGAAAAGCGGGTTAAAATTGCCTAATGTACGTGAATTTGCATAACCAAGACTTTGAAAGAACTCACGCTTTTGTGTACATTTCAAAATGGAAATATCATTAACATGAAGCAAATGCCCGCAAAACATCCTTTTTTTGTTTGCGCAAGTTCTTTTATATTGACCAAATCGGAAGAAAATGTCACAGCATGTTATCACGCAATAAAATTAAAATATCAAAGGTAAATTTATGTTATCGCGCGTAAAGAAACTGTTACATGTGATTCACGGAAAGAAGAAGCGTTTTATTCTTTGCTAGACTTCCCTTTTATGAGTAAAACGGAGCATTTGAATTTTTCTCGTAAAATATCGTACCTAAGCATATTTTCAAGATCAGGGAAAGATTCTGAAAAGCAGAAAAAAGACCTTTCAGATATTGTGCTCATGCTGACGTGATCAAAATAAAACTATCTATATCGTCCTCACGTTCCTCGTTCCACGTAGCATTTTTGAGAGGTGATTGAGGAGTTTTCATTTTGCAAACTGTTCAGATTTAAAATCCTGCTGGTTAATCGGAAGATTAGGGTAAAACGTGCAAAAAAGAAACTATTTTTTTCCGAATTTAACATTTCCTCCGCACGGTCTAATCTCTCTCCTGAGGCCCTAAGTATCCATCAATCAAACGAAGAGGCCTTCGACTTAACTCAAGTTAAACAGCTTTTTGCCACTCGAACCTTTTGTCATTAGTTAGGAAGAATAAAAGTGATTCCTATCAACTAGAGGACTTCTGAAAGTCTGTTTTTGTTATGGCTTTGTGAATTCGTCCCCTCCTTTAAAAGAAATCAATTTGTCTGTGGAAAGAAGGGCGGATGAACGCAGGTTACAAACCTTTGATCTATAAAGAGTCTTTTTTGATCGCTTGTACTTTTCACTCCCCAATTCCCGATGTATATTGGTAAGTTAAAAATTGTTTTACCAAAGGTATTTTAGATAGTATATGAGCTTTCCAGTCTATTTGTAATGTGAGTTTACTCTTCCATCATAACGACCTTTCTTACACGATTTAGGAAAGTTAAGTTCTGTGGAAACGATTACAGCATATTTGCGTTCATGAAGGTCGGGTGACATTGACGGATGACACTGTTCAATCAGACGTGGGGCTCATTTCAAATGCGATAGAAAATCTGATACTTGTCGGAGAAGGAAACACTTGCTGAGCTATAAGTTGACCGTTGTACCTGGACACAGAATTTCCTCCTGATGATCTGACTGAACCGGTGGATAGGCTTTAAAAATCTATTTCATCTGCATATTTCGTCTATTTCCGTGCATAGGGAGCTGTGACAAAAAACACACTCCAGTGTCACGCAAGTTACACCAGACACAAAGGTCACTCCTAAATCCAAAGACCAAAAAATAATGGATAATTGAGGAGGAAACAGCAGTTGCTTTTTTTGTTGAAGTGATCATTTGAAAAGAAAAACGTTTACAAACATTAAACCAAAACAACGCCAAACAAAAAAGGCTCTAGAAATTAGAAATGAATGGCGTCGCTGGAAGGAATGGAGACCATTTCCATATGGCTTCGTTTCCGCGCTCGCTTCTGTGGTGATTTCGATATGCGGAAACTTAACTGTGTACGATAACCGAAAGAATACACAGGATACCAGAAATTAGAACGTTACCTTTCAGTGGCTCTAAGCTTTCTTTGCTTTGAATTATTCCTAATGTTGATTAGACAGTGTCCCAGTGGGAAATGAAACAAGCGTTACTCTCCATAACCTTGTGGAACAGAACCGCCCAAAATAAACATCTCCTCAGTCATTTAAATAGAGCTGATCATAGATTTCCTCTATAAAATGCCAAGTTATTGATAATCCTTTGTATCGCTATGAGATCATTGTCTGTAAACCTCTCTAAGAAGGAACAAGTTTCCACGAGATGTAGACAGGAAACAATTTGGGAGCTGTGAAGATGGTAACTTTGAAATCTGTTTCATGACAGCTCGGTACCCAAACATCTTACATATTGAAATCTCCGCGGAAAAATCTTAAAAATTGTAGAGTAAAGAGATCTGTCGCAAACATCTTATATTACCTCACTTACCACTGAATACTGCTGGCAGATTTTTGTCAGGAAACTTCGACTGTGCGAATATCACTTTTGCGAGGAGGTTCTGTTCTGGTTATTATCCAGTTACCTTGGTTTGTATTTAAATCTGTTTTGTTTCAGTGTCTTATTTCCAGTGTTGATGATTTCCTGATGTTCCTTTTCTGCAGATGTGTGATTGTTGTGAAATTCTGTCCACTACCGCAATTTTTCTCGCGTGAAATCTCAGGAAAACATACGGAGGGAAACAAAAATGAAGTGATTTAGAGATTGCTGTTGCAAAAATTAACCCAGAGATGCCAAGAATTGATTGATGTTTGACATTCAATGACCTTGATGTACCAGAGATAATCATTCGACGATCTGTCCAGTAGATCTGTCAAATCCCTTTCGCTTGGTCATGTAGTTATACTGTACTCAAGTTCCTATCGATCAAGTTCCTCCTCAGGGTCTCATCCCCTCTCCTCCTTTCCTGGCCGCAGATAGAAAGAGTTGCACTCTGCTTACTACATTCAAATATTAAAAAAATTTCCGTTTAACGTGTTTGCACTGGTGGTTCAGTGGTAGAATTCTCGCCTGCCACGCGGGAGGCCCGGGTTCGATTCCCGGCCAGTGCATGATACAATTTTTTGTTTTGTTTTGTTTCGCATACATAGTTCATCTATATATATCACTATTTATATATAAGAATTACTTTCTATTATGCAATATCTTCCTCAGCCAATAAATGAAATCGATGAGGACCGAGAACAGGCAGTCTGCAATCAGCTGAACTTTTGCTTTTTTAGCGACGTCATTTAGGGAAAAGGAGAAGACAGGACGGCAGTTCAGCCCTCTGAAGTCTTAATCAGTGATTTTGGAGGAAATTATGGAACGACTCTCTTCTGCTTGTAATAAGGTGAAAGGGGCAATTGATAAGTAAACTAAACTTGTCACTAGGAAAGAAATATTGGTATCAAAGAAGTGTTAGTTACAATGGGAAGGAAAATTCTGAGAGAAACTAGAAAAAGAGATTCTGCCACTTGAGAAGTTATTGACTCTTGATACTGTTGGTTCTTTCATTTAATTTTTCGTAAGGATAGGCTTGAAACTCTTTCAAAGTGAATTGTTCTAACCACGCACAAAAAAGGACCCAAAAATAGGAATAAAAAGATGAATGAGAAAATACAATGTAGATGAAATACATATTCATTATTAGACAAAAAAAGGTGAAGCATTTTACAGAGTATGCTTATGTTGACCTGTTTATTAATTACATTGAAATAGTAAATCAGTAGTATATCAAAAATGATAAATAAAATTACAAACTATCATTATCTTGATCCATATAAGTTCGAGTGAAGTGGACTAAAATCACACTGTCAAATAAATAATGATACAATTATAAAAATAATAGAAATAATATAAATAATGATAACAATAATAAACTTTAATTAAAGATGTTATGATACATAAGAGTATAAAAACTGATGAACCAAAGCACCATGTGAGCAAGTGTTGAGAAACTTAGTCAAGTATTACCAAATAAAGCATTAAACTATTAAAAGTATTGTGTTGGATATCAGTCAGGTAAAAGACCCTTAGGATCTTATATGTGGCAAAGATACGGCTAAATGGAGAAACTTCATTGTTGCCAAAGATTCCAAGGGAGGAGGTGAAAGACTTAAGTTAGGAATCTTTTTACCTTGACTGTCAACTGCACAAACCCAATTTACCAAAAAATTATGGTGATTCACTTTTTCTTAACACTGCTCCAGCTGCAATAAATACCCCAAATGGTTCCCCACTAAAGTAACTGATTGACAGAAATTCATAGCTTTGGGGTAGTTAATGAAAGCACAGTTATCTCTCCTACAGAGCCAATTCTCAAAGGTACAGCAGCAAAACATGTTCCTGAAGTAACATAAACATAACTTTCTTTATATTTATAAAGTCCAGCAAAAAATGGATTGAAAAAATATATCAGTATGTTCATGGGAAAGAACTGTCCTCCATGAGTGTGCCCTGACAATATCAAATCAATGTCCTGATACTGGTCCAATGCTTGCTGGGCAGCCTTTGGTTGGTGTGCCAAGAGAACTGTGAGAAACCTGCTGGATCTGCCATTTAGGGCTTGTGACAACTTCATACCATGGTTCTGATACCTGCATTTATAAAATTAAATTTTGGTAAAGTTAGAATTGGCTTTACTAAAATGACACAAAAAATGAAATACGAATAGTCATCCACCATCAATCATTATGTTTTCCATAATTTTACTTTAGAATTTCACGGATTTCTTTCTTCCACTTCTACACTGATTGGTCCTATAAGACTGTAATGACTTTTAATCTCACTTCACTTAACTAAGAATTTCAAAGAAATCAAGTAAGAGTTTAATACACTCTTATAATCATGGGAAGGGGGGAAGTGGGGTGAGGTTTTTTATCAATTATGACCAAAGGTTTGAAACAATTAAACAATAATGCCCTGAATCACACAACAAGGTTGTGAGAATAAAGGAAATGATCAGAAATTAAAGAAGCTCCTCTCCTTGTCAGCACCTTGGAGAACAGTGCAGAGAATATGCATTTTGATGTTAGAGAGTAAAGGGTAAGAATGTCACCTCATACGGTCAGCATCTGGATCATCTACTCCAGCAAGATATAATTTGTCTCCAGGACTGGCTTTGTTTGAAATAATAACATGCGAGTTGTGAAGAGGTTGAATTCCAAGTTGTTTGAGTTCCTCAAGCCATGCATCAGTATCTCCAGTGTAATATTCATGATTTCCTACCAATAATTAAAACAAACACTCAATGACTACTCAACTTTCATGCTTAGGAACCAACTAACGTTAAGAACTAGCCTAACAGGTATCATATCACAGTTACTACAAAAAAAAATTATCAAGAAAAACTGCCATAGTTTTAAAAAGTTTGTTCTCTCAGGCAATAGATTTCATATCTGCCATATGGACACTAGAGGCATTATATATTTCAGAGGACCTATGGACAACAAGCTAGTGAACTCTACAAGCCATGTGCAAATACTTGGCAGCAGTATATGTTTATTTTTCAATTCATAGGTAGTGGTGTCATCAGATCTAAAAGCTTAGTCCAGTGTCCTTTCTCCCTGTGCAAATACACCCCCTCTTAATGCTAATCAATCATATTCCCCCCTCAATAATCGATCAACACACAGCAACAGAGTGCCAACGTCTACATACCTGTAACAAAGTATGATCCGTACTTTGATCTCAGCTTCTTGAGAGGAAATACAACTTTTTTCAAGTTTGCCACGGTAGAATCCACCAGATCTCCTGTAATGACGATGATATCCGGCTTCATAGCAGATACCATCTTCACAACTCTTTCGAGAGTATCTAATCCAACCAAAGGCCCGAGGTGAATATCTGAGAGTTGTACTACCGTAGTACCATCAAAAGATGCCGGTAGTTTAGAAAGAGGAACAGTAACCCGTCTTATTTTTGGCCCTTTGTAAGCCGTTGTTAACCCTTGTATGCAAAGAAGTAAAGAAAAAGTTGTAGCTATTATGGTTTTCCACTTGTCAGGATTGGGAATTCTAAAGCTGCACATTCGTAACAATCCAAAAACAACGCTTAGTACCAATAAGTTAAAGAAAATCAAAATAAGAAGACCTAGACACGTAAATGCCAGCATGTTGATGAAGTAAGGCTCCACACTGATAAGCATTCGACCAATGACAAAACTGAAGAAAGCAAGCCCAAGAAAAGTAGCGAGAACAACATACAAAATCCAGTGAGTGAAGACTAACACTCTTGAGTTCGAATGCCGGTTCGGAAGTAACACAGTTAGATTAATCCAAACATAACGCGAAATAGCGCCAAGTACCAAACAAAATACTAAAAGAAATTGAACTCTGAAAAGGATCATCTTCTTCTTTGGTTCCAGATCAATCACTACAGTTACAGCTATTGCTATAGCCAACAACATTGCGATTCCTCCAAACACACGGTAAATCCTCATGTCCGCCATGATTAGATTCGTGCTTCATACCCAGTTTTCCTCGATTACTTCTCCTCCTGGACTCGATATGTTTTGTGATTTTTTTGAATTTATTAAACTTACAATGCATATGGTATATCATGAACAAGAACAATAATATTAGTTTAAGTATTTACGAAAAGTTGAGATTGTAGTATTGTCTGGAGTGAGATGATGTGATAGACGCTTCTTATTCAGGGTAGCCCATTCAGCTACGTGGCTGGTATTTAGAGGGGCCCTGATATTAAAACTAACAATACAGTAGTAGAAATTACAAATAACATATAAAAACTAAAAGCTCATTAAGGTACAATGAAAAATTTAAAAAAATTGCATGCAGTCCTTCAGGGAAAAAGTTTAAAAATAGTAGTTACTAAAACTTGTAAATTTTAATCCGATGCTTAGAATTCTGCAAGGACTCAATTTGCTTAATGGTTTGAGGCAAATTAAATAAGGTTGGTTGTGAACATCTAAATTTTCTCTTTCCCAAGCTTAGCTTTGGTGTGGGCAGATGAATATCGTCCTTCCTTCTTGTATCATATGACTGGAATTGGTTATTCTTGATAAAATAATCACTGAGGTACTCTGGCACTAGGTTATTTAAACATTTCAAAACTATAATAAATTTGATCTTTTTCTTGGAACAGTTTCCAAGTCAGACAAGCCTAACGCCTCGATAGCCTAGTCAGAGCTATCTCTTCTGATAATGATATGATAGAGCGAGCAGTTCAAGTGCACCTGGCCTCATTCCTCACCAAAAATGCCGTTCTGTCGGAACACCAATCAGGGTTTCGCAAACGTCATTCCACAAAAACTGCTGTTCCGAATCTTTCAGGCTACATCTTAGAACGCATGGACAAACAGATAATGACAGGGGCTGTCTTAAAGAAGGCATGTCACCTCGTAAATTACCAGTGCCTCCTAAACAAATAGAGCACTATGGAGTCCGAGGTCTGGGTCATGAGTTGTTCAAGAAGTACCTCCGAGGCATTACTCACACTCAAGGAGTAAAGTACGAGTGCAACTTATCATCCAGTCCAACACTCTACTGTTACAATAACATTTATTTTCTGGAAGTACGAAGTATAAACACAAGAATACCTCATCGATGTAATTGAAGTGTTTAATAAGAAATAAGACGAAGGAAATCTGCTGCTTGATTTCTTAATGCACACTTAGAACTTTCGCAAGGCGGCCGACAAACAGCTTGTCAGAGGGAACGCTTCAATTGATCAATGAATGATTTGACAACTGAAAACAATGGGAAACGCCTCCGAAAAAAAATTGATTCGCTTGTTCTCGTTTATGAGCGGAACAGTGTAGTTTTGTTCAATATATCTTTGGGATTGTTCAAGTTAGTGGGATGGGGTTGGGGTTAACTAGGTTCGAGTCTGCAGGGTTCCACTGTATCACCAAAAAGAATGATAGTAATATAAATATTTCTCAAAAATACTGAAATAGCAATATCATTTGATTTGTGCAACTCACAAAAGACCCAAGCAAGGTTTTAAATCTCTTTCAAGGCCTGCTTTTGTAAGTATAATGTTTCCTAAGAGATAAGTAAAGTTCTTATTCCACACAAATATTGCAAGTCAGTTGGCACATTAGACCCCGTGAAAAGTAGCAAATGGAGTTTCTTGCATGTTAGCCTATCACATTTTTGTGTGAAGGGATAAACCCATTTGTTAACGACCCTTTTAAATACCTTTTTTGGCCATAACCAGAGCAGCAATTGTTTGAAATCATATGTTCTGTTTTCTGCCATTTATGAGTGCGTGGATAGTATAGTAAACTGTCTCTAACCATCTTGCCAATGAGGTCTTTAATTTCCAAAATCTTGCCATCAAGTTCTTGAATTTTTAAAATCCCTTCAGCTTAGCTTAGGTTACTGGCTATATTTTGTAAGCGGAAGAGAGAGTTTGTGATTCACAATTCAGGTTATTGCATTGTGAAAAAATTGATGATACTTAGGCTAGGTTTATTACTAATGTAATTCACCACAATGAAAATCCAAAAATTTTAATATAATTTAAACTGCCACTCTTGAAGCAAATTGATCTATGAGATCAAAACTGGATCGAATCTATGAGTAACTGAAAACTACATGTTTATATTATAAATAACTCCACCACACTGAACCAACAGTTAAATCTACAATAGTTTTAGTTACTTTTTACTTGTTCTCATATTTCTGGCACCATTTCACCCAGTGAAATAACACAAATTTTTAAATTTGTAATGCTTTATTTCAACCATATAAATTTACTTTTTTAATTTAACTTAAGGTTATCAAAATAATGAAATACCCTAAACTATATGATTGGATATGCTATATCTTTAGATATCACTGAAAACTTTATCAAAAACCTTATTTAAATTTATGTGGTCAGTTCATACTTTTGATACCCATATTCCTTAAAGGATTTAGCCAATATTAGTATTTTATACATTAAATAAATCCAAAAAATGTGATATGTTTGAAAATCAAAAGCCTTTGGAATACCTTCTGTAACTCATAAAACATATATTGAGAATTGAATGCAGTCCTTTTTCATCTACACAAGATTTTCAGTATAACTGAACTAACTATCCTAGAGAGAAAGAATTAAAATCAGAGCATTATTTGGTTTACTTGTATGACATAACAACTGAAATAAGTTATCTAAGACCCATAACATGAGATTACATAAATTTAAAAGCACTTTAGTGGACTAGTTTTTAATCAATCAAACTAACTCAGACTAACATTTTTTCCAATACTGCAAGGCAATTATCAAAATTTGACAAAGGAGTAGAAAAATTCCCTGCATTTCTTCAATGCTTAAGTGCTACTTTCAATGATCACTGATCTGAGCCAGCTCACTGAAAGATCAACATTATAAAGTTTTAAACCATTGCACATGATCACACTTGATCAAGGAATCTGCAAATTGTTCAAATCTCATCATGATGTTTCAAATCTTGGAGAACAGATCCTAAACAAACCATTTAAACTAGAAATAATTGGTATGTTTGTGTTGGAAACTTCCACATCAAAAAGGATAGCAAGTGTACTAAAAAGGACTAAAATTGTACTTGTAAAATGGGCCAGTAGTTAATAATTAGCAGTTGCCATATGTTTCCTTTAAGGGACATGAAAACTTTTGATTCCAACAATGCAAATAGTTTTCCCATTCTATCCTCAAAGGAGCAAAAGTTATCAAGACTGCTGTCCATGCTTTAAAAAAGAATGCCTCATTTGCTGTGCCAAATTTTCAGTTGAACCAGACTTTTGGGACTCTTCAGGAATCAGTTTTTCAATCATTTTGCGAGGAAAGTTACAGAAAGCTGTTCTGGCTGCTGCAGGTGTTGGTAGTGACCTTATTATTGACCATGTGTTTGTGGCCACATCATAACATTCCACAGAGCTGGTGGCTAATCCATTCCCACTCCATCCACCACAAACATAGATCTTACGATTCAACACAGCCACACCTGCTTGATAACGTGGAGCACTCAGTGATGCCATAAAATTCCATACATTGTCATCAAGATCTAGGGCTTCACATGTTGGCATGAATGTGTTACCATGGTAGCCACCAATAACATAAATTTTGTTGTCAACAACAGCAGCCATAGCATCTTCCCGTCGTTCTATGATTGGAGCCACAACTGAGGATGATGTTAATAAACAAAGACTTTTAAATATAAAGATATCTGGGACTTTTAAGATATACTCATTGTTTATGAGGTATTTCATATGCTATTTTCTTTAAGTATTGTTCAATGTGGTGTACCATGAATTGGACTAGTTTAGTTAAAAGTTGCCAGATCAATATCAGTATCTTGGCAAATGTGCACCTACCCCTCCCCTCGCCAAACATTTACCCTAGCTTGATATCAGTTGACTGTTGTTGGGGTAGGGGAGGGGCAGTTGAGCAGTTGCTCAGATACTGACATTGATCCAAGTTTCCAGATGCCCTTTTAAAATACACTTACTATGTAAAATTGTACAATAGTACTATAAGTTTATCAAAAGATACATTTGCAGGTTGTTTGGTAGCATGTTACAGGGCCTATTTCATAGTTAACCCCAGCAACTTCTTACCTCCTAAAGACCAAACATCAGTGCCTGGATTATACATTTCCACAGAACTCAAGTAATTATTTCCATCATAGCCACTTATGACGTAGATACAATGACCTTCCGTCACAACACAGGCACCATCACGCTGGTTGTTCATTGGTGCCACAAACCTCCACTCGTCTTTCTTTGGATCATAACATTCCACGGTTCTTCTCATGAAAAAAATATATAAAAGTGAGATTACAAGAAAAGGGTTGGTCACCATGCTAAGTATGGTTTGATTAGGCTTGAATAACACTGTAGTCGGTTTCATGGCTTATTACTTCCTACAGTATGTATCTCCTTCTAAGTTGAAAACGTACAAAATTCAAAATGGAAACCAATAAATACTCTAAAATTTACAAATTAAAAACTGTATTTTATACGAGAACATGACCTGACCCAAATTTGTCTAGGGGTGGGTAGAGGGTAAAAGGGCAAGCTTGATGCTTCGAATGAAGGCTTATTACAGGGAGGAGGCCTATCAGAACATTTACTGTTAAGTAATTGTATCTAAATATAAGGCTTGAGTTTATATTGTTTTCTTCTGGACTTCTTCGGTTGGGTTCCTCCCCAGACACATGTATTTCTGGGCCAGCTTATAGAACAACTTCATTTGCACCAAGCCTTACCGTATGGGTGATTTCCCATCATATCCACCAACAGCATAAAGAAGTCCATTCAGAGCTACCAAACCAATATTACTGCGAGGCACATTCATTGGTGCTGTGAGATTCCATTCATTAAGATCTGGATCATAACATTCGCATGTATTCATTCTCTTCCACTCTTTACTTCCACCCACTATATACACAAATTTGCCCATGGATTCAAGACCTGCACAGTGCCGTGTACTTGGGCGTGAGATGTTGTGCCATGCATCACTCTCTGCTTCATAAATAGCACATGTTGGTCCTGCAACTGTCAGAAGAACACTAACTGTTCGCAAACATCTTCTAGGGATTTGCCATTTGAAAGGCTCAGTTTCTGTCATTGATTCAGCTAATTTTGTGGGAGAGTAGATGTATTGTCTTGCTTTAGAAATGATTTCCTGAACCTCTGGGTTTTCTGTAACCAAATCATCAGTGGCAATAATTTCATCAAAGTATTCAGGATTAACTTGAGGGAGACGAATCTTTTCCAAAAGTGACGGAAAGTGCTTCACCCGTTCCTCTCGATTGTGTTCCACCCATTTCAGTAACAGTTCGTACAAGTCTTGCTCACGTGTTATTACAATTTCATCATCAATCAAAAGATCGCTCAGATCTGAAGCAGGCAGCATCAAAAACTCTTCACAATTTGCAGCTTCCATAAAATTTTCCTCGATAAAAGTAGTTGCTCGGTTCATTAGATCATTGCAGTTGAATTTATCCGACAGAGCACGAATTCCCCAGCAATTACCCAAAGCGAGACGATCTTGAATAAATTTGCAGCAAGTTTGAGTAACAAACTCGAGCAAAAGTAAACACGAACCACAGAACACATCTTCGACGTTTTCCTCGGTGATTAAAATCTCACCTCGGTATATGAAATCCAGGAGAATTTCCATTGCAGTGGCAGTGATTTCTTCAACAGAGACTTTATCACTCGTGGTGGCCATGTGTCCGCTAAACATGGCCATGAAATAGTCTGAGTTAGCAGCTAGCACATTTCGGTGGGCAGGGAACTCTTTGCCCTCTACGACAAGCACGACATCTGTCAAAACAGAATGGACTCGCATTCGCGAGATTCGTTTTAGGATATATGTGTTGTGAGTTTCATCAACAGAACGCAAGGAAGTTTCTTGTTTAAACACGTCATCCAAGGCCATTTTGGTACACTACAGCTTTTCACGTTTACGACGCTGACACGTCACAAACTTACCGTCGCAATCTTATCATATTGAGAAGCAAAACATTTTATCCATAGATTGAAAGCAGCAAACAATCCCTAGGAAGTAATTTTTGATGCAAATAGCTAGGTTTAGAGCGACTCTCAAATGAAGTTTTTGAAAATGAAACGAACAGAGGGCAAGGCGCGCAAACGCAGAGATTGTGCTGGTTTTCACGTAATTTGCACATAGTGTCTTCAACGTGACTACTCCATCAAGAGTGGTCGGGTCACGCCCTGTTTCTCAAAAGATGCTTTACCACTCGTAAAAAGGGAAAAAGCCTTAAGTCTACTCAGATATAGTGCTCATTTAATTGGTCAAAGAGTGGCGAGATTCTAAGACTGCAGCAGTCATCTCACAACTCTCCTTCGAATTTGAAAAATCTGCGAGGATCTATGAGAACCCGATGCAATCTGACGAAAGTACACGACTCTAAACTGGCCAGCTCAATGTAAAGAAATCTCTACCCGGGAAATGCATTTCTTTGTAATATTTGACAAATTGGGACTCCTCCTTTCATGAGTTTCCAACACAATCGGACGATTTACTTAAGGTTACTTCCCACCTTCCGAGGCTGTAAAAATCGATTTTTCTTTTATTCGACTAAACTGTATTCAAACAGTTAACTTAACGTTTCCATTAACAAAATTTGTGGAATTATTTAGAAAGCGAATTTTCAAATAAAAGTTCATAAATCAGAAAGGTTTCATAATCACGGACCTGTGCGAATCTCCCGGGGGAATTTTCGCGGTAACCACTCATGTTTGGGCTCGTTTTTCATATTATTTCCATATTCTGTTTACATGGCGCACTTGACAAAATTCACGCTTGGAAGCTCTTTGGGATCAATATCAGTATCTCAGCGACTGCCCACCTACCCCTCCCCTAACCCATCATTAACCTTATCTTGTTGTCAATTAACTGTTGTTGAGTTAGGGGAGGGGTAGGTGGGCAGTTGCCCATATACTGATATTGATCTGCTCTTTGTTTATGGAAAAATCTTTGCTCGTGGAAAAATCAAAAGCGAAAGAAAGTCCTATGTAAAAAAATTAATAAAAGAAATAAAGAAGGCCCAAAGAAGAAAGAAAGAGTACCATTCTGTTAAGAAAGGAAAACATTCCTTTGTATTCCTTTGTGGAAGCGACCGGTACGACACAGTTCCACGCTGGCGTCCAGATTTCTAACAAAGAAGTCACCGTCAAACCAAAATTTTCCATACATAATGCTAAAAACGAGGTTTCCTTTTCTTTATGCAAGTACTAGCCTTGATACGAGAACATTAACAATCGCCTGGAAACGTAATTTTGAAAGCTTTATGTCGATTCGTTGCAATCAGAGTATCGAAGAGTATCGAAAGTCTGACACACTTTTGTTGATCGATGCCTTGTGAATAAGACTGCGCAGCCATTTTGCTCGTGCTGCGGCATCCGATACCTGGTAAATTCAATAGAAGAACCCTCGGTAGTTTCTCGCCTTACCGGCTCCTAACACTTCCTCTAAAAAAATCGCTTAAATCATATTTTCATCGTAAACTGCAGTTATTAAGCTTTCTTCCGATGTATAGTTTGCTAGGATTTTAGTGAAAATAGTGCGCGTGCGAATTTTTTCCTGAAGGATACCCGCGAAAGTGGGAAGTAACCTTAACTCCACATCATCAACTGATACAAGGAGGGGGTGCGTTACAAAGGGGAAAAAATGTTGATATTGCCAAAGCGTGGAATCATTGGTACACCCTCTGCTCTGCTTTGTTTGTATGTTTTGGCCTAACATTGATTTTGAGGTATGCTGGGATATCAAGATACATTTATATGTATATATATGCATCACAAAAATAACTCTCGGTTCCTGACGTTTAGAAATTTTTTTCGACCATGGACTTAGATGAACAACAGAAGATAAAAAAATAACATGGCACTGAAAACAGTATAGCCTCACCGCTAAAAATGAAATTGGCGTTTTTAATATTCTAACAACCACGTCAGGCATTGTACCTAAATATGGACTTGAGACAAATATTATAATCATTTCCTACCTACACTAAGTCTACACGGCAAAATGTCAGCTAATTACAACCACAACAACATACGCCTCAGGAATGTTCCGCATTACAGAAAAAATGTACAAAAACACAGCGGTGCGGCCACCGCCTACTCATCTCTCACACGTTAAAAAATTATTACGGTGACTGCAATTGAGAGGTTCATTTCGTACTGTTATTCACTTCGCACGGTGAAGAGTTTTCTGAAAAATTTGCCAAATCTGTCTATGAAAGGGTTATACTTAGGGGTCTGAAGAATTTCTTTCTTACCCAGATTATTTTCAAAAATTTTTTGTTCGCAAGTGAAGGAAGTGCAGCCAGCACTGTCATACAACAACTTCCTCAGTTGGAGAAATTTTTCAGAGGCCCGGAGTAGAATCGAAGCGGATTTTGACGAGAGGATATTTACTATTTTAGTAACGCCTTATATAGTAATAACGATTTGGTTGTTTCTTTTTCTTGTTCCATAACATATATAAGATCCTTGAGAAGCACTCTGCGCATCCTTTGTCGAGGAACCTAAGAAATAGGAAAGTAGGAGTAAATATTAACCAGTAAGCAAATCATCAGGGTGTGTATGGCGTGGAATCGAAAAGTTGAGAACACGACAACGCATCATTCAAACGTTAAGGAATTAACATTTCACTTTTATTTTACGGAAGTTCACGTAATATTGCCTAACAACTTTAGATATAAATGTACAGAAACTCAACTTCTTAGCTCCTGTTTGTTTTTTATTTTATTGTTTTTTTTCACATCATGTCGGTTTATGAAACCACAACGATAAGTCTTCGTTTAAAATTCAATTAGAGATGAGAGAGCGTTAAATGGTTGTTGCAGAAGAAGGGAAATATTTTTTTGATCATATTCGTATCAGAGAACATTCAAAAGAAAACATCCCATGCAGCAAATAGTAGGCTGTTCGCAAACATTTTTTTACGCGCGTTGCAAAATATTTGAAGGATACTAAACACAATAGCCTCTTGCCTCTCGTATATTTGTCCTTGGGTATTATCTGCTACTCGACACTCAATGTTTTCCTCGAGCTTCGCTCTCGGAAAACTGTTTGCGTCTTGAAAGAGATAATATCTGCGGACAAATGTCCGTGCAAATTTTCGACATATGCTATATGTCAAGACTCAGCGCGATTAGTTGATGACTACAGTCTGAGTGTTTTTTGTCTGTTAACTCGTGTTATCCATTTATAAGTACACTACCGTCCTACCTGCTGTCGTACATCTTTTTGATTTCCCAGCAAACTGGAAGATGATGGCGAAGACGACGACGGGGATCCCTAAAAACAGACGAGAAAAAAAAACTTGCCGCGATTAAAACAAATAGTTTCATTAAATGTAACAATCAACGAAAAGACAATGTCTGATTCTTCTTTGATGAAACAGCTGTACTCCTATTTCTCGGTAGTAAAAGTGTCGTGAACGAAGCGTTACACTGAATTTGTTGATAGGTTCGTGACGGAAGTACAGGAATATGATTTGGGTTGATTGGTTGTGAGATCGGAGTTTCTGGAGAGTAGGAGAATAAAATAGTGTACATCAAACCAGTGTGATTGTTTGTCACGAGATCATTTAAGACTAAAGTACGATACAGTCCGTCCGCAAAATTCTCCTTGATTGAAGTGCTTTTTATACTTACTACTGTCGAAGTAGATGATCCTTCCAGTGCTTCATCAAGTTTTCGTTTTTTCCTTGGTCCAATGGCTGCCAGCGCCGTTGAGTTTGCTGCACGTTTCCGGATCACCTCTTCCTCCTCTTGTTGAAGCTTAAGGAGAGGAAACGATTCAAGGTCACTTAAGTTCATTTGAAATATAACCAACAGCGAGAAAATGTGAAGTGTTGGTACCTGTTTGGCTTTCTCTTTGAGTCTCGCCTGCTCGGGATCTTCTTGTTTTGACCGACTCTGATAAGAAAATTAAATTTTCTTTTAGTTAGTCATTCTACAGCCGACAGATCCGCGGCCCTTGTTTACCTTTTGACAGGTAAACCTTCGAGGATCTTTGGGATCTTGCATCGAGTAAGCGATTCTTGAGAACAAGAGCGGCTGAGATAAGTTTCTCACTATCATAAAATCGCATGCCACAAATACAAGTACTAATTGATTGAAAGTTTCTTACCTTCACTGCCCGCATCAGAATATCCCTTTCTCTCGCGTCACGTTTCCTTCTCTCCACCTCATCAATTTGCTCGAAGACTCGCAGCTGAGACTTTATGTCCAGTCCTACTTCATACATGGGGTCATCCTGAAAAATAAAAAATAACAAACTTTCGCTGGCTTCCACAATTGACTTGAAGTTTCTCAACGCAACAGAGCTTGCACTATGTTAACATGCATCATTATAGGTGTTGTTTCTGTAACAATTTAATTAAGTGAACAATTCAAATGACACAATTTCATAGTCGCATGTATGGGGCAAAGTATGGAATCGCAATTTTCACTAATTGCGATTCATTATCTAATTCCATTTCACCTTAAACTTGCTAATAAGCCCTCCTCAATCTTGACCTCTCTCTGCTTCCACTAAATCAAACCCTCTAAACTAACAGTTAACTAAAACCTTTTAAAGGCTGTACTAGTTTTTGTTTCGACCCCCTTCCCCAGATCTTTTCGGGAGCTTAGTGGGCGTTCATGTATTTCCGAAAAATAAAATGAAATAAAATCAGAAAAGTAAAGGGAAAAAAAGGAAACTTTGAGTAGAAAATGGTAAGAAATTGAGAAAAAGGTTTCCGATGAGAAAAAAGCTTGTTAACAGCAAATAGGAAAGTTTTACAAACCCGGTAGACTTCCAGTCGGTGTAAACTTATTGTTGACACTTTTTCCAAAATGTTACGGAGTCGCTCTTGTGTTGCATGAGAGACTAAGTTCAAAACATCTTGCGATACATCTGAAACTCCATGTTTCCTTGCTGTGAAACACACATCAAAAATGATTTAAAAGATTTTCACTTAATGTTATAACAGTTTCCAGTGAGGCCTTAAACTACTCTAAAAATAATATTAACAAAAAAATTTGAAAACACATCTCGGAGCTTTTGCTGATCCACAACATTATCCCTGATGATTCTGCAATGATCTC